GGGACAGGAAAGCTAGTAATAGGGAACCCAAGGTTGAGAAGGGACAGTGTTGACATGTCATGGGGTTGTTAACCATTGTCATAAAACAATATGTGTACTAACTGTTTAATGAGAAACTATTCTGTAAACCTTCATCTAACGTACAATAAAAAGAAAAAGAAATCTGGAAGAAAAAAAAAAAAAGAATGTAGAGTCATCTCAAATGTGATCCCAAAGGAGAAAATATTGAGTGAGCAAAAGGGCCAAGAACATTTAGAGGGGAGGGGGAGGAAGAGAAACAAATGGAAGAGATGAAAAAAGGGGAGGTACAACAGCAGAATTGGAATTAAGAATCAAAAGAACATGGCATATCAAGAGGAAAGAGATGTTAGCATGCCAGATACCTCCCAGACGTCTGAGAAAGGGTGACTGGACTTGTGGTGACATTTCAGAGAGGGTTCAGAGAGCAGGGCAAGAGGGCTGCATTTAGGTTCTGGGGTTTGAATTCCAAGATTCGTTCCATTACCTGCCAGCTGCAAGGTCAGATTTGTTAATCTCCCTGAGTGCCAGTGTGGCCACCTGCAAAGATGGAGTAACAATACCTAGCTTACACATTGTTGGGAGGAATGAGATTATGAGAAGGAAGAATAAAAACCACCATATACTGAATGTTTACTCTGTTCTAGTCATTGTGCCAAGTACATTTATCCATTATATGGAAGTCCTTTGTACACTCTGAAGTAATGAACCAATGGGAGGAATTATCACTACTGTTAGAATTGGAGATTGTGATGATCTGAGAAATGAATGGGAGATAGAAAGTAGAGGGTTAACAATTCATTCCCCAAATTCAACAGTCAATGGACTGTGGAAGATAGGGGTGATGGCTTGAGAAAGGGGCATTGTCCTAGTCATCGAGTGCTGCTGTAACAGAAAATACCACAAGCAGATAGCTTTAACAAAGAGAAATTTATTTTCTCACAGTCTAGTAGGCTACAAGTCCAAATTTAGGGCATCAGCTCCAGGGGAAGTCTTTCTCTCTCTGTCATCTCTGGAGGAAGGTCCTTGTCATCAATCTTCCCTTGGTCAAGGAGCTTCTCAGGCGCAGGGACCCCACATCCAAAGGACGTGCTCTGCTCCCTCCTGGTGCTGCTTTCTTGGTGATATGAGGTCCCCATTCTCTGCTTGCTTCCTTCTCCTTTTATCTCTTGTAAGATCAAAGGTGGTGCAGGCCACACCCCAGGGAAACTCCCTTTACATTGGTTGAGGGATGTGACCTGGGTAAGGGTGTTTTACATCCCACCCTAATTCTCTTTAACATAATCTAATCTTGCCTCATTAACCACAGGCAGAGATTAGGATTTACAACACATAGGAAAACTACATCTATCACAAAATGGTGGACAACCACACAGTACTAGGAATCATGGCCTAACCAAGTTGGCACATATTTTGGGGGGACACAATTCAATCCATGACAGGCATCTTTGAAGATTTTGTAAAGATTGGGGCAACTTGGCCATATTTATCAACCAAGCAAAGGAAGAGAGGGGAGCAGCCAGGAAGGGCATTCTGCTTCTGCCAGCTGGTCCTGACCTGTCAGTATGCCCTCTCCCCTCTCTGGTTGCCCTACCCTGTGGGTATCTTTCACTTTCACTCTCCTGCTGATCATCCTAGTCCCTTCCCTTCCATGACTCCATCAGTCTACCAGGGGACATCAGAGGCTCCTTGTGAGAACAAGATAGGAAGCCTTCCTCATCCATTCAGTGGGGATTGGTGGCCTGGGCTCTATCCCTACAGCTCTTTCTCCCAAACCACCTCCCCACTCTGCCTAGCCTTTCACTCACTTGGCTGGCTCAGAGGGCCAGGGCTCCAAGCCAACCAGGCCGGCCTCTTTTGTCTCCAATCAAGGTCAATGATCACAGTGAGGTCCTGGCAAGGTCCCTAGGAAGCTGAAGTCCTCAGCACTGCTTGGGGGATGGAAGACCCCTTCTATGGGGCAGGAGAAAGCCACAGGAACCTCATCTGTTTCTGAGATCATCCCTTTTCCAAAGTGACCCTAGGGCCTGCTGGGTATTGTAGTCTTCTCTCATAGTCCATCCAAGTAGTGAGAGCAATCAATAATAGAGGCGCAGGAAGAGGGCAGCTGGGGGCAAGGCAGTGTCTGGTGTTGACAGGCTCTTTGCACCCTCCAGGGCCCATGCCCTGTGGCTCCAGCCTCCTAAAGCTTGCTCTTAATCCAGGTCTTCCTCTTCTCTCTCCCAGAGCACTGCAGGAGCTTCTCAACTGATGTAGCTGCTTCCAGAGTCTCTCCCCTCCATCCCATCCCAGCCCCAACCTGCCTCCAGAGTTCTATGTCTACATCATAGATCTGATCATAGTGTGCTCCTGCTTTGTGAATATCCAAGGCTTCCTACCTCCTCCAAGATAAAGTCCTCCACCCTTGCCATGGCATGTGAGGCCTTTCACAGTCTGAACCCTGCCCACTGCTGGCCTTATCTGAGCCATTCCTCACTGTTCATTCATTCATTCGAGTCTTAAACGTTTTTCAGGGGCCTTGGCTGCTAACCAAAAGGTCAGCAGTTCGAATCCACCAGCTGCTCCTTGGAAACCCTATGGGGCAGTTCTTCTCTGTCCTATAGGGTTGCTATGGGTCGAAATCAACTCCACCACAACGGGGCTTGGTTATTAACTCCTGGTTCCCAAAGCCTTCTGCACCGCTACCTCCCTCTGTTCACCCTTACTTCCCACGCATCCCAGCCAGCCCTCTGCTCAGTCAGGCCAGGTTCCCCAGGGCTCCAGATGAGCCCTTTGCTTCTGGAGCTGGTTCTGAACAGCTCCATCCACCTGGGGTCTGGGGGCCTGACTGGCCCACGGGTAAAAAACCAGTCTCTCCACTTGTTCCTTTGATAAGTAATCTTCAGTAAAGGTATCTTTATTTGATAAAGATATCTTTATTTCCTAGAATGAATATATCTTTCATTTCCTAGAATCTGTACACGTTGCCCAATTGATTGAATGCTCCTTAGAAGCAAGGATAGCGACCGAGACTTCGTCTCACATCCTTTGGACATGTTATCAGGAGGGAGCAGTCCCTGGAGAAGGACGTCACGCTTGGTAAAGTAGAGGGTCAGTGAGAAAGAGGAAGACCGTCAACGAGATGAATGACACAGTGGCTGCAACAATGGGCTCAAACACAGCAAGGATTGTGAAGATGGCGCAGGACCCGGCAGTGTTTCATTTTCTTGTACGTAGGGTCGTTATAAGTCAGACCCGACTCCACAGCACCTAACTTTACTTCCATGTTCCGTCTCCCTCCCGAGCCCGGGCGGAGAAGGGGGATCGAGGAAGCTGTGTAACGTTCATCTTTGCATTCATACCCCATCCTTCCCCCGTCCCCGACTTCTAGAACCAGGAAGCAGAATAGAGGTTCGGCAAGTATTTTCTAAGATTGATTGCCGGTTTCAAAGCCTGGACGAGCCCGAGGGCGGCTCTTTTCTCCAAGGAAGCTGCAGGAAGCCTCTAGATAACGTGACGGCGCGGACAATGTGGAGAGACTGAAGTCCCCACTCCATCGCGCCGCGGCGGGCGTTACTTAGCCCAGCCTGTCGGGAGCGGAGCTGGGCCCGGAAGCTCGGGGCAGCTAGCCCGCCGCCCCGGCCGCGCGCCCGAGTCCTCTTTGTGCCGGCATCAGGTGCAGGCCCGGAGCGCGCACTGCACCGCTGGTCGCTCCCGCGCGCTCGCGCGCGGCTCCCGGCTCCCGGCTCCCCGGGGATCTCCTCTGCGTCTGGGACTGAGACGGAGGAGGGAGGCGGACCGACACGTAGCCGACCTAGCTGTAGGGCCGACTCCACGAGGGCGGGCGGGGGAGCAGGGGACCACAGCTCCAGCCCGCTGGCTTTCGAAAGATCCTCCTGGGCCAATGGCAGGCGGGGCGACGCGCCCGGATTGGTTCAGGCGCTCTGCTGATCAGCGTGGAAACCCCGGCGGCGGGGAACGCGGGAGGATGCGGAGCCTGGGGCAGGGGGGGCCCTGAGCGCCATCGCAGTTTGACTGGAGGCAAAAGTCCATCCGGGGGGGCCAAGGGAGGGGCAGAGGAGGGGACGGCTTAGGGGCACTGGGAAGCCAGGGAGTCGGCCGAAGGAGGCCAGGGAGCCTCTGGCGGGAAGGCGAGCGGGCTGGGGGAGGGGGCGCGGTGGGAGGCGGAGTAGAAGAAGACAAAAGCCGAAAGCGAGCCGGGCCGGGTCGGCACACTCGGGCAGGAGGGGCCATTTGTGCAGCGAGCAGCCGGCGCGGAGAGGCCGTAGTGCGCAGAGCATCCCGCTCGGCCGGCAGCATGGGGAAGGGGGGCAATCAGGGCGAGGGGGGCCCCGAGCGCGAGGCGCCCATACCCACCTTCAGCTGGGAGGAGATTCAGAAGCACAACCTGCGCACGGACCAGTGGCTCGTCATCGACCGCAAAGTCTATAACGTCACCAAGTGGTCCAAGCAGCACCCGGGGGGCCACCGGGTCATCGGACACTACGCAGGGGAAGATGCTACGGTAAGGGTTTGGGGGCTCCTCCACCACCTTTCTGTGCTACCGGTGGGAGTCAGGCACCCTAGGTCCCTGGGCGCCAACCAGACCTCCGGCACTGACTGGAGTTCAGTGCGTCCGGCAGGACTCTGTTGGGCGCGTAACCCGCCTGGAATCCTCCTCTTCTGGGACAGCTGGATCAGCTTGGGGTGGAGGTTCCATTTTGGACCTCGACAGGCAGCTCCGCGGTGGAGATCCTACCGGTAGGGAGCCGTGCTGGATCTAGCGAGCGCGCTGCGACCAAAGTCCGCGCCTTCTGTCGGGTGCCTTCGGAGCCGGGGACTTCCCTAAGGGGGCGCTCAGACCCTAGGGTTTTGGCGCCCCCCTCCCGCGTGGAAGATGGCTGCCCCAGGGCACCACCGGAGGAAGCGGGAGAGGAGGCAGCTAGATGTAGGGACTTGGCGCGCGTCCTGCGCTCTCCTGCCAGACCAGGAACGATAAAGGGAAGCTCGTCCCCGGAAGCCAGGGCTCGCTTCTGCTTTGACTCTTGTGTAAGAAGGTCCGCCATGGCTGCCTGGGAGAGAGACCGCCTGGTAGCTCCCGTTCACAAGCTCCCAAGGACTACCAAGACCGACCCCGAAGGTCGGCCTTCTTGGGGAGTGAGTGGGAGATTGGTGGAAGGAGAAAAGGCTAGAGTTTGCCAAACGTAGTTCGAGAGGGCAACGGGAGCCGGTGAACTTAGCAGCGCTAGTCTTGTTTGCCAACAGGTCGCAGCTGTACCAGAGGTTACTCGCGGACATTCAACTCACTAGCCCTCTCTGTCTCTAAGCCCTGCCAGGAACGGCGTTTCCTGCCCGTGCACTCTGCAGGTAGAGAGCAGCCAGGGCTGCCCATCTTACCAGCTCGAAATGTGGGGTTCAGCCATTACACAGCACCCCCATGGCACCCCACTGCAACCCCCTACTCCCAGCCTGAGAGCTTTTCATTTCTTTAAGGTGCAACTGGAACCCAGTGGACTCACATGCGTGCGAGAGAAAAGAACAAAGGCAAAGAAGAAAGAAAAGGGGTCTCTTGGTGGTAGTGAGCTGGGAGCAGAGAAAAAGGTGTGGCAGGGTAGAGAACAGGGGAAGAGGTGAATGAGGAGAGGCTGAAGGGAGGGACAAAGCCCTTGAGGAAGATCACTCCACCTGGAGGTCTAGGGTGCTGACCCCTTTGTGGGCCTTGGTTGTCCAAGCTGAATGGGTACCTGTCCATTGGTGGAACTCTTCACTACCCCACCTCCTCCCATCTCACCCTGGCTAGCCTGGCCAGGGAAGCTAGACGAGGCAACTGTGATCCAGGCTGTTCACTGGCTCACTGCTTGGTGAGCAGAGCCAGGCTTATTTAAGCTTGAGAAGATGGTCACCCATATCTCCTATAGCTTCTGGCCCCATTCTCTTTTACCTGATTGTGAACACTGCTTAAGCCCTCTGGGGCTGGCGATACTAACCGTAAGTTAGGTGGGTATAGGTTATCACTCATCTTCTGGGTACTACCTCATTTGGACCTTGCCACAAACCTGTGAGTAGGTTGAGTAAGGGTAACTAGTTACCATCAAGTTGTTTCCAACTCATGGCAACCCCATGTGCGTCCGAGTAGAGCTGCCCTCCAGAGTGTTTTCCAGTGGCTGATCTTTTGGAAGTAAATCACCAGGCCTTTTTTGGAGGCATCTCTGGGTGAACTGGAACCTTTAACAGCGGAGTGTGTTAACTGTACAACTCGGCGGGGTGGTGGTGGTTGGGTAAGGGTAATTCCTAATGAAAAGATCTTCTGACTCCTGGTTGAAGTCTTTCCACCATTGTGCTGACCTGTTCATGATTTCATAGAGACGTAAAAGGTTCCTGCCCCATCTGAACTTCACCAAAAATATTCCTAGCAAGACACGTCAGAGATGATGGATTGGTCTGAAGAGTTCATATCGTTAAATAAACATACTTTCTTATGTGGAACTCAGCCTGGCATCTGCTTTGAATTTTATAGTTTAATGAAGACGTGAGACTTATTTCATCTTTCTTCAAGGTGTTCTCATTGCTTACCTGACCTTAAAAATGAGTTTCCCCTAAAATCAGTGCTCAGATCCATTCCATCAGGCTACCAGGGTGCCATGCGTTCTCCCACTCCCTCTGCCTCTAAGTTTGAGCTAAAAATGTAACAGTCTTTTCATCTTGCCCCAGCTGCTCTCTGCATCACTCTCATTGACTGTACATCTGGCATCTTGGATGTTAGCTGTCCTGTTATAAGAAGGGAGGGAGCCAGAGTAGGATGCCAAGAGCCCTGGAATTGAAGACAGAAGGTTGATCCCTTCCACTGCATATGATCACTTTACTGAGCCCCTTTCCTCCTCTGTCTGATACACCTGTACCTATGTCAATGAGGCCCATTTGTGGCAAAGCACTTCGTGAACTGTAAGCGCTAGATAAATGCAGTGTAGTGTTTCAGACAAATGAGAATTAGAGTGAAGATTGTGAAATTGTAAGCACTTGACTGCTAACTGGAAGGATGGTGGCTCGAGTATACCCAGAGGTGCTTTGGAAGAAAGTCCTGGTGATCTACTTCTGAAAAATCAGCCATTGAAAACCCTACGGAGCCCAGTTCTCTTCTGACACACATGAGGTCACCATGAGTCAAAATCGACTAGACGATAACTGGTTTAGACTGTAAAGTCAGCCAAGAGAAATTTGGAAGAAAAGTTTTTTTTTTTAATTGTGGTTTAAGTGAAAGTTTACAATTAAGTTAGTCTCTCAAACAAAGATTTATACACACATTGTTATGTGACCCTGTTGCCCGCCCTGTACTGTGACAGCACACTCCTCCTTTCCACGCTGGATTTCCCATGTCCATTTAACCAGCTCCTGACCCTCTCTGCCTTCTCATCTCGCCTCCGGACAGGAGCTGCCCATTTAGTCTCATGTATCTTCTTGTGCTAAGAAGCACATTCTTCACGAGTATCATTTTATGTCCCATAGTCCAGTCTAATCTTTGTCTGAGGAGTTGGCCTCAGGAATGGTTTTAGTTTTGGGCTAACAGAGAGTCTGGGGGCCATGTCTTCTGGGGTGCCTCTAGTCTCAGTCAAACCATTAAGTCTGGTCTTTGTATTAGAATTTGAGTTCTGCATCCCACTTTTCTCTTGCTCCATCAGGGACTGTCTGTTGTGTTCCCTGTCACGGTGGTCATTGGTGGTAGCTGGGCACCATCTAGTTAGTTCTTCTGGTCTCAGGCTGATGGAGTTTCTGGTTTATGTGGCCCTTTCTGTCTCTTGGGCTAATACTTTCCCTGTGTCTTTGGCGTTCTTCATTCTTGTTTGCTCCAGGTGGGTTGGGACCAATTGATGCATCTTAGATGGCCGCTCGCTAGCTTTTAAGACCCCAGATGCCACTCACCAAAGTGGGATGTAGAACATTTTCTTAATAAACTTTGTTATGCCAGTTGACCTAGATGTCCCCTGAAGCCATGGTCCCCAGATCTCTGCCCCTGCTTCTCTGTCCCTTGAAGTGCTTGACTGTATTCAGGAAACTTCTTAGCTTTGGTTTAGTCCCATTGTGCTGACTTCCCCTGTGATGTGTGCTGTTCTTTCCTTCACCTAAGATAATTCTTGTCTACCGTCTAGTTAGTGAGTACCCCTCTCCCTCTACCCACCCTCGTAACCATCAAAGAATGTTTTCTTCTGTGTTTAAACCTTAAAAGTTTTTTTAATTTACATTATCTTTATTTGGTGTAGTAAGACATAAAGATAATTTCTGTCCCCAAAGCTTACTACTACTACATAAGACTTCGTTCTTTTTTTTTTTTAATAAGACTTTTTGGAAATGAAATACACCACTTGGGGTGAAAAATAAGACTTTTTGGGCATGAAATACACCACCTTTTTTTAATTTTTTTAAACCATCTGGGACCAGATTGGAAGAAGGCCATGGGGAGTCTGGGGAGGGGACTTGGAGACAGACAGAAACAGGCTCAGGATCCAGAGACTCTTGTCTTTACCTGTCTAAGCTTAATGTTGAACAAGTGGCTTTGTTCCTTGGGACATAGACTTCTTCCTCTGAACTGTGGGACCAACAGTATTTAGGGTCCATGCAAAGTTCGGGGATGACTGATGGGTGATAGTTTGGATCCCCTGGAACACATAACACATCAGTGTGTCATTATGAGCCAATCACAGTGCAGTAACATCTTACAAGGGTTCTGGGAGGAGAGGCCAGAAGTCAGGAAAGTCATTCTTGGGGCAGTTCGGGGCCTCAGCATGGGGATTTTGAGAAGAGAAGACCTCAGCAGTCAGGACCCACCTCTTCCCAAGAGAGATGACCTAGTGAAGGGTGAGGACAGTGGCGTTTGGTCCTTCCTCCAAAGTTAGAGCTTGGCCTTGCCTGTGGTAATAAAGTTGCTTAATTTTCACAACTCACAAAGCACACTGACATAAAACCAAACCCATTGCCATCAAGTCAATTCTGACTCATAGTGACCCTATAGGACAGAGTAGAACTGCCCCATAGAGTTTCCAAGGAGCGCCTGGTAGATTCGAACTGCTGACCTTTTGGTTAACAGCCATAGCACTTAACCACTACACCACCAGGGTTTCCACGTTCATATACACTACCTCATTTAATCCTCAAATCAGCCCTCTAGGCTTTCTCATTGCTGTTATGTTTGAAAGCCTTGCCCAAGCTGTGTGCTCAAGTCTTTGTTGCTGACGCTGCCGGGTTCATCCTTCCTTCTTCTTCCATCTTTCCTACCTTCCCTCCTTTTTTCCCCTTCCTCCCTCGCATTCTTTTTTCCTTCCCTTTCTTTCTTCCATTCCTTCCTATACCCACCTCTCTGGTCTCTTTCCCTCTTGTCCTCTGGCGCTTGTTTCTGCCTGTTGCCAAAAAGAACCCTCACCCAGGTCCCAAGAACATCTCTGCTGTTTTCCCAGCAGCACCCCACCACTGGAGAACTTTCTCGGGACTTGTCATCCTCAACAACAATGTATCAAACATTTATGGGCGTCTCCA